AAGAATGATAACGAAAAAAACATACCATAGGCCGTGTTTTTGATTTGCGCCCAAATAAATGGTAAGAGAGCAACCAACTACTTAACACACACACATATCAGCGTGTAAGTAGAACGTTTGACAACATTATGGTGTAAATGTAGAACATTGCTACATATACATTACTTCGACAGCGTATAAGTCGAAGCAAACTACTTATAAGTAGAATGTGTATAAAGCGTAAAAATTACTTGCATAGTATTTCCAAGTCATTTTACGCTGAAAATACGCCGACATATCCATACATGTTCTACTTATAAGTAACTTATAAGTAATAAACATAGATGAAACATAGCGGAAAAAACTACTTCCAATTTTCATACAGTCTCAAGTTCCGTATTAGATTATCATGTGGAATATTAATTACAATATAATTTCGTCAAACATTGACCATATCCATATTACTGCTTTGGATTTCAAGTTATTTGTCTATTAAATTACTTACGGTACAGATATTAAGTAAAATATGTTTTCTTTTTGAATTTATGCAATAAACAAAAAGTGAGAATTGACTCAAGGATACGGTGCATGCGTACATTTGATGATTTCAAGAACAAATTATTTCAAGAAAAATTTGTTGCTCATTATGCAAAAAATTTCATTGCGTCAATACGAGTTCATTTACATATCTGAACATCTGCAGCTAGGTGCAGCTGCGTATTCCAACCTTCAGAAAATATGCAAATAGACCAAAAGTGAGAAATGACACAGGAAGCTCGAATAAAAAATTCAAAAACAATTAAAAAAGTCATTCTGTTCTTCATATTAACCCTCCATCCATCCATTCACTCTGCAGGTTTGGAAGGTCACTTTTGTCGTTTCTTGTTGTTATTTTACATGTAAAATCAATGGTATTAGACGAGGATGAGGTTTGCTTTAATCAAAAGCCTGAAAATGGTTTTTTTAGATAAGTTTCCATACAAATGTACCATTTTACAAGCGTTTTCAGGTCTCCAGTCTGAGGCTTATTGTACGAAATTGATAAGTCAGAATGGGTTTGAAATCAATCCGAAGCTTCGTCTCAACATGCCAAATCTTCTGGCTTTACAAATCTTAATTATCTTGTGGTTGTGATATAAGGCGAACAAAAAACGCGAACGAAGTAATACGCACATCTCAATTTTGCATATTTTTCACAGTAGACACAGTATTTTACCCATTTACATTGCCTAGTGTACAGTTATGTGCTAGAAACAGTTTAACGCGACTTTATAAAAAACCAATACTTTTCCTTAACAAACAAAGTTTGCGGAAGAGTAATATTCTCAAATTTTGACATAAAAATGTCCTAAAATGTTGTATATATCATTTTGTCTTTGTAAAAGTACATCCATTGTCCATCCATCCATCATCCAACAGTATCCATCCATGCATCGACCGCATCCATCCATCCATTCAAAAAGAGTCCATAGTTGGATGGATGGACCCACACGTGAGTGGATGGATGGATGGATGGATAATTTTGCGGACTTATGACCGCTAGCTGTCTTTCCTTGCGCTCCCTTGACGTGAGTCACAACGAGCTAGAACGCTAGCGGAAGAGTTATACCAGAAAAGTCATATTGCCACAAGAAACGTTGTAGAGCGTTCCAACGGACAATGGAAAAGCGATTTCCTTGCCTTTGGATAGGCATGCGATTCAGAAAATGGAAACAGTCCTCAATGTAATTGTGGCCACAGCCGTCTTGCATAATATATGCAAAAATCGCGGCGACAATTTACCACCATTGCCCCCAGATTTTGAAGAACTTTATGATTCCGCGGTTGAGCACGAAAGACAGTTTATGGACGATGATAATTATTGTTTAAACTTGTTAACCAAACCGTTTTAAAATTAAATTCATTCTTTAATGAACCTTTGGAGAAACCAACCATATTTCATTTTTGAGTCAAATTATTTGAGTATTCCAATTTAGGTATATTCACAATTCTTCGTGTATTTTTCTCGTTTTTTCACATCAACGGTATCTTGGAATTCTTGATTAGATCGTCTAAAATTTAGACTAATTTAGTCTAAGTGTTGTACAAATGGACTTGAAATTTATTTAGATAAAGATAAGATATTTGTGAAAAATCCTAAAAATAATTTAGATGAAGATGAGATGTTATCTTATCTATCCAAAAAAAGATAAGATATTTTTTTCCAATTATCTTTTAGTTATCTTTGATATTTTTCTATGAGAAAATCGAATTATCTTGGAAATTATCTAAAAAATTCGAGATAGATAACGAAAAAAGTATTCAGATAAGATATCAAGATAGATGACCAATCTGAGTGACTGATTTAGATAAAGATATCATCTTATCTTATCTATCTTCATCTTATCTATCTAAATTTTATCTTTGTACAACACATCTGCATTTGTGTAATGAACAAGCGGGAATTTACACAAGGGCACTTAATCGTACGTTCACTGAGTTCGAAAATAAAATATCTTTAGAAAAATTTGTTACTCATGTGGTTTTCATGCGCAATTTCCCTTGCGTCAATACAAGCTCATTTACATATCCAAACATTTGCACCTGTCAAAATAACAAAACGCGAGAATTGACGCCAGAAGCTCGAATTAAAAACATGTTTTCAAATAATTTGTTTTCGATTTCAGTCGTAAGGAATTTTGTTTTGCTGTACGTGTCATAACGATGACAATTCTACAATATCTAATTGTTGACTATAAATGAGGCACCGAATTAGTGGAAATTTAGTTATTGTTAAAGTGATTCGACTATAAACATGACTAAGCAATTGATGGGTGAGTCTCTTCTTAGCTCTTTTTTCCATCATATTTTTTAAATTTTCATTTTTGACAATACTTGAAATTTCAGTCACTTATTGTGTTTTAATCAATATTTTCTCTCCGTTTAGTTTGTTTGATTCTGGTTGCGGTTTTGGGAGACCGATTCATGGTAACTAACAATTTTTCATCTATTTTTTTTTCATCGGGTCGATGACATGAAGAGCTCTTTTTCATTTTTCATACACAGAGAAAAACAAATTCATTTTCGCGTAGCAAAATGTTTTAATGTGACGAATTCTAACACATGTTGAGATTTTCACAACAAATGTTTTGTTCCATATTCACTCAGTGAATGAGTAAATTTAACTCAAGTATTTGTCAATTGAGTGACCGTTTGCATACGTTGTCTAATTTGACAATCTCAAAACTGAGTGAAACTACTTGTCAAATTAGACAACGTATGCAAACGGTCACTCAATTGACAAATACTTGAGTTAAATTTACTCATTCACTGAGTGAATATGGAACAGAACATTTGTTGTGAAAATCTCAAAATGTGTTGGAATTCGTCACATTACAACATTTTGCTACGCGAAAATGAATTTATTTTTCTCTGTGTACAAATTGACTTTTCGAAAACGATGGAAAAAAGAAATAAATTATAAGGAATCGTATTCTTACTCGACATTTTTATTTTGCAAATAGTTTTTTTCAGTTCCAAAAATCAATTGATCTTCTATTTCGATTCGATCAATTTTGTTGATTCAAACTAATTATCTTTTATTCGTTCACAATTTTCAACATGAAGCAAATTGAAGGTGGACCTGGGGCAAAGGCTGGAATGATGGGAGGTAAGTTTGAAATTCCATTTCAATTTTAAATTTAATTCTTACCATGTTCCAAATCGAACAAAAAATAGCATTTTATTTTCAGCTGCTCGCTTGCTCTCACTGCACGCCGTTCTTTGCTTTGCGTTGCTGTGCTTCGCTTCGTTCAAGCACTTTCCCCGCTTTCGAATTTCTCCTTCGCTACTTCGCGCATGCTCAACGCTCATTCGACGGCGCATTTCGCGCCAAATTTTTAGTATAAATAGCGGCACGATTCTCAGTATCGGAAGTCAGTCTTACTCCAGAGCGACTAGCGAAAGCATTCCAAAGCGACTAGCGAAAGCAGGCAAAGAGCGACTAGCGAAAGCATTCACGAGCGATTAGCGAAAGCAAGCAAAGAGCGATTAACGAAAGCAGAATTGAGCGATTAGTGAAAGCAAATGAGTAAGTCTAAGCGAATTATTGTTATTTAGAATCAGCGTAAAGAAGAGAAAAATTGTTTTAGTTAGTAAGAAAGTAAATAAATACATTAATTTCTTTTTATATAAAACCTCAGTGGCTTTTCACTCAGGTTTTATTCATACCATTCCACATACAAAGCACCGTTTGATGTATGAAGGCATTTTCGATATGATCCAGCAAAGAATCCTAGCTAAATTAACTAAAACTTAATTCAATTTATGATAAATTCGTTGTATTTTCTTTCGATTCACTTTAATAATCCGTTTTTTTTTCAATTTTTAGTAAACGATAAATGCGAAACAGGCCGGACAGATCTTCATAACGCTGCAGAGAAGGGTATCCTTGGATATTTATGTTCACTAAATCAGGAATTGATTAAATCTTTTTCAATGATTTATTTCAGGTCAATTGGATGCCGTTAAAAAGCTCATCAAGGAAGGAGCCAAAGTTGATCCTATAGACGCTGTGAAGCGGACACCTCTTCATTATGCTGCCATGAATGGTAATTTTGGATATTTAATTTAACTGAATAAGAGAAAGACTTGATTTTTAACATTGATCGATGTTATTTTTCAGGTCATATCAAGGTTGTCGAATTGCTCATCATGAAAGGAGCCGAAGTTGATCCTATAGACGCTGTGAAGCGGACACCTCTTCATCATGCTGCTATGAATGGTAATTTTGGATATTTAATTCAATGAGGCAAATTAAGTGACACGCACAAGAATAGCGCCATCTACAATCGTTAGAAGAAAGCTATGATGCTTACGGTTAAGCTTCAAAACATTAAAAAAACGTTCAAACGATCAAACGTTCAGACGTTCGAAACGCTTGATCCATCCGTCAAATTGAAATGTTGCAATTGTTTTTATTTCTGATTCGGTTTAGTGAGTCACAAGAATATGCATTTTTCCTTGATTGAGAAAAACTCGAACTAAATTTTGTTTAACTTCGTAATAAAAAATAATACAATTCAAAAACGGTAGATACTTCAATCCCATAGCTGTCAAAGTCAGTGGTGATGGCGCGTACTTTGGAATTTCAAATTTTCGAATTGCAGACTTTATTTTATGTATAATTATGTGTAAAGAACAACATTTTTACATTGATTTTCTGAAAATAAAAGTAAGCAAAAAATGCTATAATAAACCAATAATGAAATTCAGTTCAACTCCTTACATTTGTTTTCAAACAAAAACGTAAAAATATTCAGTGGTTTCTTACCTACAGCATTTTTGCTGTTTACACTAATCACTACATATACCTAATCTATATTTGGATCCGCCAAGTATTACCGCTAATATTTCCTGTTGTTTTCGAAAATGAATTCCAAGTCAAAGATTAGAAAAAAATAGATTTTCGAAAATAATTTCGGATTTCGAAAATAAACTTTTCGGAAAATGATTCCAAATCAAAAAATCAAACTTTGAATTTTCGAAAATGAGTTCGAATTTCGAAATGTTGATTTTCGAAAATATAATCGTTCGAAAAGGTGTTTCAAGTCAAAAAAATATATTTTCGAAAATAATTTCGAATTTCGAAAATAAACTTTTCGGAAAATGAATTCTAAAACGCATAATGAATTTTTTTGAAAATAAATTCGAATTTCGAAATAACTTAATTTACGAAATTCCAGAATATATGAAGAATACATTTGGAACTTCAATATTGGGCTCAATTTCGAAAATCCAGGTTATCAGGTCCGAGAGATCATAGACTTACACCACGAAAATTTTAGCATAAATATTAAGAGCCAAAAATACCGCTAAAGTGTGTATTGTTTATATTGTAGGGAAATCACTTACGCGTATCAGCGCCAAAGCTATCGTTATATTTATATTCACTCAAAATTGGGCAAAACATGTTTGAGTGAAGAAAAAAATTACTTTTCCGTGCATTGACAAAGGCTCTTCGAAATCGCCTATTTTGCTTTTGCCTAAAACGCCAATGTCATTAGCAGCATTGACGTCCTACTGACTTAAATGCATTGGAATGTCAAAAAATGGCACAAATTTCCGAGAGCCTTTAAATGAAAAAAAAAACCGAAGAAAAAACATTCAAAAAAGTAAGGTCAAAATTGGGGGAGAAAAGTCATCTACCCGATTTTTTTTTGAGTTAGCGAGTTTTACATTCGGCCCATGCGATTCTGCTATCCATAGGTTATTCTATATAAGCCTAATTGTCAGAAATGTTTCCATCACTTAATATTTAAAACACAGAATCACCCTGTTCTTATCATCGGCACAAAATAGAAGTGGCGCCGAAACACATATATTTACAATTTGCGGCATTTTAAAGAACTAAAGTATTTGTTGTTGAGAAATTTATGACAATAACAAGTATTGATAATTCTTGAAGTTGCTACAAAAATTCATATCATTTCGGCGCCACTTCTATTCACTATTACATCAAATACGTTGGTTCTTATGGCAGACAAGCAGAGATGTTCAAAATTTGTCTAATATTCATCCATTCATCCATCCATCCATCCATAAGTTGATATATCCAGACTTGACCTCAATTCCAGTTATACGAATTTTTGTACATAGATCCATCCATAAATCCATCCACTCAATATCCATTGAACATCCATTGAATATCCATTGAAGATCCATCCAACATCCATTGTCCATCCATCCATTCGTCCATCCATCCAATCATCCATCCATAGAATTGAATGGATGGATGGATGGATGATTGGATGGATGGATTTGGGAACTTATGACCGCTAGCCGATTATTTCAGTAATTTTGACTTTTGTTGAGTTCACATCGAACATTGACTAAAGGCTAACACCAGAATCAATGCTAGAATTTGTAGTGCTAACGCCCAAACCATAAGTATCCAATTGATAAGGTAAAAAAGGAAATTCATAAGAAATCAATGATTATTTCAGTTTATTTCAGTTTATTTCTATTATTCTGATTTTTATTGGATTCACAACAATTATTGATATGCGACTAACGACTTACTCGATAAACCATATCTATGACTCATTAAACCGAAACTAAGGAAATTCATTGGAAGAATTTGTAGTGCTAACGCCCAAGGCATAAATCTCCCATGGTTTTTTCGAATATGTTTTATATAAAAATATAAACCTGAGTTAACAACTCATGAGTTTGTTTCATGAAAATAATTTGGTCAAATAAAAATTTTCTTCAAATTAATGAGAAAAAATGCGCAGTATGAAATATTTTGATTGAGTCGGTGCAATCATAGAGCCACTAAACTTTGGAGGTTAGGTTGCCGTTCTTTTGCGGCATGAAAAATT